GGTGATTGCATGCGCGAGCGCTACTAGGAACAACAAAGTCCGGATAGAGCTGGAAAGGGTATCTGTTCGGTGTGCATGGGTGGTTACCAACTGCAGCTGCTCGAACTGGTGCAAACAAACTGCAGCCTTGCCACCAGGCATCGTCGGGCCCCGCATGGGCAAACTCAACCAAGGCAAGCGGTTCCTATGCATCAAACGCACCCTGGGACCTAGCTGCACCATGCCACTGACAATCTAACTGTCAAACCAATCTTGAACCTTGCTGCAGAGAATCCACACTGTCTCTGCCTGCGAGTGCATGCATTTCTTACGGGAGTTGCATGTACAAGTGCCGCTGGCTGTTGACCGTGCCACGTCCTGGACCTGACGCTCACTTGAGCGAGTTTGGGAAGAGTCATGCCAGTCTGCAACGCACTTGGCAAGATGACCACAGCCTGTGGTCTGCAGATACAAGCGCATGCGCTACATCCTCCGTTGTGCAGAAGGTTAAGGCCTTACCAAAAGGCTACAATCATACTAGCATCCATGCACCGCCACCCAGAACTGACGTGTCAACGCCCGGAACCCTTGGAACACAGCCATGTTCATTTTCTCTGTCAACAGCCACACGGAAAGGACGGCCTGGCGGAGCTGCTTCAAGGCAATCAGCTACACCCACAAGTGCGGCAAACAATGGCAAATGCCCTTTCAAGCCCTGGAAATCATTCACGTCTGCACTCACAAGCCTCGCGGAATCGCATCAGAACCGGTGGCAGCACGCATTAGCGCAGAAACCACACCGAGCCTGTCAGGGTCCACAACACCTTTCGACAGCTTTGCCAGAATGATGGACACCTCAGAAGACGGCTTCCCTCCCATCTTTACCATACTCGTCCTTTCAGGATGCACCATGGTCAACAGGCAATGCCAATGCCTGATTTGCTTTTACACCGACACATGTCTGACCTCCCGCCAGGATCACGCAGGACCCGTCTTGCTGTAGGTGCTACATGATCACATTTGCGAGGGTGTCACTTGGCATGTGCGGGCATGACAGGGTGCAGCACCTGTTTGTGCTGTTGTTGCTTGGAATCCCAGTTTTGCATCTGCCTGCTACGGCATGCAAACTTGCAAATAAATTTCCGACACGCCAGCATGCGTGCTTTCTGGACATGCGTCACTGTGTTGTTACAAGTACGCGCAAGGCTGCATCCGTTGGCTTCAAGAAGCATGAGCTGGTCTGGACATCGGACCCGTTAGCAACCAGCTAGGCGCAAAACCAGTTCGGCGAAGGACTCCCCCGCTTGCTACGCTCATGCGTGACGACCACTTGCAAGTGTGACTAGGACACAAAAGAGAACCTCGAGCAGATTTAAGCTGCGGACATTCAACAGCACTCTGCCAAGGGGCAGATCATGGAGACTACTTGTCCTTGCTGCAGCTGACTGAGCAGGTGGATTTGCACAGGTGACTGACTGAGCTCAGCTAGGTGGGTCCTTGATGGATCATAGAGATGCAGTGTACACCGGGGCTGCCTGTGACTTGACTGCCTGCACCTACCCAATGAAAACTCCTCTTGCAACCTGCTCTGATCTTTGCAAGCTCGGTGCGCTCCTTGTATTCAGGGGTATGAAGTCAACATGCGAAAATGCTCTCGGTAGGGACTTCACATTTCAAAGGGCTGCAGGCTGTGGCCAGATATGGCGCTTGAAAAGCGGCTGTGGAGGGGAAGTCGCGTGGATTCGACTTGAGCACTGCCCTCTGATCAAACCAAATGGCACAACGACATGCTGAAGCAACTGGTTGCAAGCAATTTTGACCTTCCAGCCTTGCAGCACACAGGCCTTAGGCGTCTTCATGGGCGTTGGGATGCTTGCCGTTGCATTGTTTGGACATGTCGTCCTACAATCACTGGCTTGCCGGCCGGATTGGAACCGGATTGGTCCGGCCTGCACCTCTCATCTGAGCCTGTCATCTCCTTTGACGTTGAGTGAGTGTAGACTTCATGGTTTCAAGCGCATGCTGTGCTTCTGCTGGCCTACGGGGACTGGCACCAAACCAGACCGAAGCCTGCTGGTACGCTGCATGCACTGAAGGCATAGACCGGAGAAGCAAAACACAAGCTCTCAGGAGAGTCACCTATCCTTCGGGACATAGTGTATGTCGAGGAAGGCACGAGGTTGCTGCACTCTGCCATGGCTCTACAGTAGTTAGATTCCAACCCTGGCTTCGAAGCATCGCTCGCTCGTCACGTTCAACACAGAGGTAGCCCATCCTCAGCTGGAGCCTGCAGGGTCAGAGGGACGAGAGCAAGGATGGCAGCGGGTGCTCGCAGAAGGGAAACTTACTTAGTTGGTTTCGTTTTTTTAATGGCTTGCTAGTCAGTATGGCTCTCAGGTCTTTGCATCTGTTTGCTGAGGAGTCCCCTCAAACTGGAAAGCCGTCTAAGAAAGTTTTGATTAGAAGTCACAAATTTCGGAGACGCTCTGGTGAGCTCTCCCACCATCCTGCCTGGCCGTCAGAATCAGACTAAGCACTTTGTTGCCCACCACGAACGTGCCCAAAGGTGAGATTGGCATGAGCTTCTCCATGTCGTTGCTACCCATAGCGGGAACACGAAAAAAATAATAGGGCAACAACAAATACGAGTAATGCTTCTACTGCTTCTGGGCGAGGGAAAATGGTACTGGCTTCCAGGTGATGAGAGGGGAGGACCTCAGGCTATAAAGCAGGCCCAAAGCCGGAAAGTTGTAGCGTAGATCCGTTTGACGGGCTTTGACCAGCCTGGCCTTACAGATAGGTATGTGCTATAAAGGTCTAAGCTGCAGTAGCTCACTAAAACAAAACGTATGTTGCAGAGCAGGGCGTTCCGAAAACCTACGAGCTTTGTTAAGCTTCGCTGCGGATAGGTTGAATAAGCTGACGTATCACTGGCAGACACAATTTCTTGCGGCAAGTTTTGTAGTGCTTCAGCTTTGACTTTGGCTGGCCCTGAACCTCCCAAATCTCAGGCTTGACTTCTGATGTTCTGCTGGTTTCTATGGCCCTTGTCTGCTCCTAGAGAAGATAACCTTGAGCCATCAGCGATTGTCATTGATCAAGAAAGGTTTGCAGCAGAGGCGTATGCTCCAGCGGCTGTGTAGAAGCCTCAAAAACCATGAGTCCTATGTGTTGTTGCGGTGTCCAAAACACTGAGGGCCCAACCATTTCCAGAGGACTCATATCGCACCCTCTTAACGATTGATGTTCAAGCAAAGTGTCACTTGGATAGTCGCTTGCCAGTTCTGATAAGCTTCTAAGAAGAGGTTTTGGAATCACTGACGTCGGGCAACTTTACCTTTTGAAGCTCCAACTGCCTGTGGGGGACTCCATTCGTTCTGAGAAGTGCCTGCAATTTTCTTGCCACGATGCTCGTACATCCTTCATGACTTGTGCATTCACCACAGGAACCTGCCAAGGGCCATAGCGGGTGACATGAAACCGAACGTGTCCTGCCATGCAAGCCCCAAAGTTCGCAATAATATGCCTGCATTCTCTTTGCAGAAGTAAGTCTTAAATTCCTCATGTCATGAAACAAAGAAGTTGAGAGCCTTTCCCCATTCAGCCGGGTTGAAAAATCTTGCTGGCCTAAGCCTTCCAGCAGCCGTTACATTGAGGGTGTTACCCATGACGAAGGCTTTAAGACTGGTGGCTAGAATTTTGGAAGCTGTTCCCATGGCGTTGTGCAGTTTGGAACCTGAACTCCAAGAGCTTTTTACAACCTCAAGGTCAACGTGGCCGAACTTTGCAGCCCTCGAAGGCAAGTTGCCCAATGTTCACGGAATCGGGAAGTGTTAAGCATTCCAAGGAAACGCAGCTTGCAAACGCAGCAATTCCGATCTCTGTCACAGAGTTGGGGATGTTTAAGACCTTCAGGGAGCTGCAACCGGCGAAGGCTGCCCGTTGGATCTGGGTCACGGAGCCGGGAATCATCAACTCAACCAGGGAGCTGCAGCCCCCGAATGCACTCTCTCCAATGCAGGTCACAGACTCGGGAAGTTCTACACTCGTGAGTGAGCTGCAGCCCATGAAGGCACCCTGTGGGATCTCTGTCATTGAGTTGGGAATTCTTAAGCTCGTCAGCGAACTGCAGCCCAGAAAAGCATGGCGGCCCATCGCAGTCACACCAGGCATCGTCAAGGTAGCGAGAGAACTGCAGCCCTGGAAGGCATTCGGCCCAATCTCAATTGCAGAAAGGGGCAGACTCAAGCTTGTCAACGAAGAGCAAAGACGAAATGCACGCCCCTGTATCCTTACCACACACGCTGACATGGTACAGCTCTTCAAAGAGCTGCAGCCTTCAAATCCACCATCTCCAATTTCCATCAAGGACTGCGGAAGTGTCAAGCTTGTTAATAGCGCGCAACCTGAGAACGCGCTTTCTCGAATCGCAGTCAGAGAGTTAGGAAACACCACACTTGTCAAGGAGCTGCAGCCACGAAACGTAGATTTCTGGATTTCATGCCTAAGCACAGGCGCAGATACATTTTCGCAGAAAGCGTGATCGAGAAAGACTCAGACTAAACATCCAAAAACACCTAAGCTTTGAAATCACCAAGAAACAAAGCCTCAGGAAGTGTCAGGCTGCGGAGCCCAGTGTGCTCAAACGCCAGTTCTCCAATTTCGTGCAAAGATTCGCAGAGGCTCAAACTTACTAGTGACTCGCAAGATGCAAAGGCAAGCCGCCCAATCTTGGTTACAGACTCTGGGATGGTCAAGGCCTCTAAGGATCTGCAGCACTGGAAGGCAGCGTTCCCGATCTGTGTCACAGAGCTTGGAATCATCAGACTCGTTAGGGCATTGCAGCCCTCGAAGCAAAAGTTCGGGATCTCTGTCAAAGATGTTGGCAGAGTCAAGCTTTCCATGGAGCTGCAGCCCTGGAAGCAAAAACCCCCGACCTTTGTCAGAAAGTCAGGCAGCTTCACGCTTGAAACCGAGCTACAGTTCTGGAAAGCAAACTCACCAATCTCAGTCACCGAGTCGGGAATTATTAGCCTGCCTACAGATGTGCTTCCAGAGAAGGCCCCTGTAGGAATTGCAGCAGCACCATCTGGAATCTTCAGCGAGAACAGTGAGTCATCATTGTCGTCATCACAGTCATTGTGCAAAGGGCAGGGGGCCTCCTCTGCTGCGATACATTCCACGAAGCGCTCATTGAACAACACCCTGATGTCTGCATCTCCCAAAACCCCAACCTCCATCAGCGTCTGACTGTCATCCACTAACTTCGTATCTTCAACCAATAGGTGCACCAAGGTTGTTCTTCTCGTCAAATCGTCTGCCCATGTTTGCAATGCTTTCACTTGCCGCTTCATCTCGCCCACCGTCATCTCTGGCCACGTGTCAACTGTAGAAATGTCTCCACCTGCAAAGTGCTCAAACAACAAGCTGTCAAGCAACGCCTGTCACGCGTCATGAACAATAAGTAATACTTTCAGGGGCCATTCGAGTTCTGCCAGATACCGGAAGGATTGATCCAAAAACACTCCCGAAACCCTGAACCCCAAACCCATATTGCTAAACCCTAAACTCTAAAACCTGGTACATCCAGTCTCTGGACCCCTGGGTCCAGGGCTAATTACATTTGAATCAGGCATTGTAAGTATCAGAGCACTATGGCCAGCATACCCTGAATAGCCCGGCAAGGCCATCAACGCAGCAATATTGATGATAAAGCTGCTCATTTCATAGACAGTTCATGCCGACTTCTCTTCAAGTTTTGGGTACTGATAACCGACCTAGCCTGTTTCAACTCTAAATCAGAGCGAGCCACTCAACTGGTGCACTGTTATCTTCGACGTCATGGCGTCTCAAACAGCTGGCAATGTTCCATGGCAGAAAGTGCAGATTAGCAGTCTATGCATTGTAGCTCTAAATGTTGAAGTGTGGCTAGCTGGCTGTAGTTTCACGTGTTGTCAGGCGCGTTTGTTGTCAGCTGCTCAATGATCCCAAGAATTTAGCAGCCATAGACAGCCACAGAAATCACGTTAACTTCCATTTCAGGTAGGTGACTGGAATTGGGACTTCCATGTTTCTAAGTACAATAATACTAAGGCACCTGGATGAAAATCGCCTGCTATGGGCAAGCCGAGCTTAAATCTTGCCATCTTGATGCTAAACCGCGGCAAGGGAAATCTAGAGTTGCTGCTTCAAGTTCCACGAACAATCATCCCTCCTCATCACACCTTCCAACATGCTATCGGGGGCGGAAGAGGCCTTTCAGCGGCATATGTATTCTGGGCCCATCGTCTCATCATCACTAAGTCACCTCCCCGAGCCTGCCGCTGACTGACAATTCTGCGGAGCAGCATGAAACCAAAAACAATACCTTCGTGTACAAATGTTGCACCAGACCCCGCTACCAACGTAAAGCCAATACCTCCAAGCTTCAGCAGGAACACGCAGAGGAAACATACAGGCCGGGGAACGGAGCCCAACCCACGTTTGCTCTGTGAGGCATATGGCCAGCCTGTATTCAGACAGGAACGAATGAAATGATCTTCGTCATGTCCCGTCCTCAAAATCCCTTACCACAGCGTGTGCCACAAATCTATGGTTTGGTCTGTCCAGGCTTTCGGTGCATGCCATCTTTTACAAATGATTAGCCATCTGAGTCGAGGAGCTATTGCCAGGTGAATAGTTTTCTCAGACCTTTGATATCAAAGACATCCTCCGGGCTTCACTGACACATGCTTGCACCCAGGTTGTTGCCTGGAAAGGAGCTGTTTTCCCCAGATTCCCACAACACGGCACCTTCTTTCATGATGGCTTCCTGCACAGGATCCCAAGGTAACCTCACTGGGCGTCAGGAAACCTGCACCACAACCTCAAGTCCCTGTATCACCTCGTCTTTGAGTGCCCCGAAGCCTGCAACTGGAAAGGGAGGCTCACAGAACCGTCTTCACACATTCTTCTGAGATAGCTGCCCCTCGCACGCACACGGATCTGGCTATTATTCTCTGAGGATTGTCATTGCATGGCACTTCCTCTTCTAAAAAAAAGACGTTCTCTTGCCAGACTTGCAAGTGCAAACTGCCGAATCTTTTTCCCGCGGATCAGGAGATGCTTTCACTACGGGTGGTCTGTACCCACATGCCATCTGCATGATCGCCGCTGACATGTGCATCAGTGACATTAGGATCATACACCTTACCATCCTGTTAGTCAATGCTATTGCTCTTTCATAAGGCTTGTGCTTGCATGGGATGCGGGGTCGCGCTAGCAAATCAGAGCAGCGGAATTGCAGCTACCTAAGTCGAGCAAATGCGCAGACATGCAATGTTCCATGACACAGCGTGCACCAGCCTACGCAGTCTATCAGGACACTTCATGCAAAGCTTACGTCTTTCTGAGCTGCCTCTGACGCATCTGCGAAGATTGAATTAGAATGAGTGTTGTGAGGCGGTCCCATCCACTTCTGGTCGTTCCTTCTCCTTGAGTTGTCGTCTTGCAGAGAATGCTTACTCCCGCTGGGTAGGGGTACTGTGCATTGCAGCTTTAGTAAATAGAGGATCATGTCCACACGATTATGGTACATCACCACATTACCGTAAGTTTTTCTGGAGACTTGTCATTCTTTTTGGGAAGCGTGGAAATCTCTTGTCCTCGAGCGCTCTGCGATCTTTTTTTTTGCACGATATATAGGACATTGATTCTGAAGCCGGCGGCCTCTGATAAAAGGAATGACGGCATGGTAGTCCTATACAAGCACATTGGCACCCTTCATGCCCAAGTCCTTCCTCACATGCTAGTCAGCATCCCGATTTTTTTTCAGAGTGGAGGCACATGCTTCAGGTGACAGTTTGTGTGTCCTGGGGCCTCCCTATCTACCCACAACTCAAGATTTTGCTCCATAAAGGCCCAAAACAGGGCCCCGCGACTGAGGCGAGGACAATCTGAGCCACCGCAGCTGCCCCTGCCTCACCAAAAGCCATCCGCAAAGTAGTTCAAGCACTACGGTCGGCAACCTTGTACTCCGTTTTTTTTTGTTATTGCTATCTCTGAACTTCAAAATTCAGATGACTGCCCTAATGCTACACCAACACACAACTCTACCATGCTGTGTGCCTCGGACGAAGATGCACCCACGGCCCCATGGAAGACCTGTCACATTGTTGGGTGCATGTGCGAATAGAGGCGCTGCTTGGGTTGTCATGGCCGTTCGGACTTTTCAGCGGGGCTCTACTGGGCTCAAAGTCAAGATATCCCCAAGTCACTGCACTCAGCGTGTCACAGCATCTGCTCTTTGTTCTACAGCCTGGGAAACCCTACACTCTAAATCCATCACACAACATCATACCCACCACCTCCTGGAGCAAGCTGCAGACTTCTGCAGGGCCACATGCTAGCCTGCACAAAAAATGAGGAAGGGGAGGCGAACTGAAGGATCGATTTCTCTAGCTTTGGGACCTTTTGGTTGTCCGCTGCCTGGGTTATCAACTGGAACGCGCAGCTGTGTTGAAGGTATATGGCTTGGTACAAAGAACGTGAACAACTTTTCCGAGAATGAAGCCATCCTGCTCACGATGAGATTGTCACAAGAACGCCCTCGCAGAGTGTGGACCGCAGGCCTGTTCTTGAAACTATACTGGGCTAGATCCATGCTGCTTTTATGACTACTTATGGTCTGATTCAGTGCTACAAATTGCATGTGAGAAGCAAGGCACACGAAGCTACCACCAAAGCTGCTTTTTCCTCGTCATGCTAACTGAACCTTTCCGGCCGCTGAATGTGCGCAATCAGTCTGCCGCAGCTATTCAAATCATTTCGGTGCTTTCGGAATGTGACTGGCGTGTCTTGGCTGACTTGCTGCCACTCCTCATCCACTTATTCCAGCTTGAGCGAAGCCAGGAGTTTGCTTGAAAAAAGTCCATCCTGCTCATATCTGGCAGCGGGGTCTCCAACATGTCTGCGAGAAGGCGGATGTTGCGTTGCTGCTTCAAGTTGACGTGCGAGAGGCCTTTGCACTTTGCCTCGGCCTTGCCATGCCAGGAGCTGCAGTGCTGAGGAGTTGGTGGCAAAAGCGAATCTTCTGAAACTTGGGGAGGCGGCGGAGTCCAAGGACTGGAGGCTGGAGGAGCCTGCGGTCATGACTTGAATTGCAACATTTGGCTTACTCCTCCTGTAACTATGTAGTACTGGTACTTCCCCTCCTCCTCAAAATGCAGCTACATTCCTGATGTGATGATCATGTGGCACTATCAGAACCTGGCGATGCCTCCGGTAGGTGCAGCGGCGCATCTGATCTAGGAGACTCTAGCAGCAACTCCTCGAAGCTACCAGCCCAAGCATCACGATGGGTAAGGAAGAAGGACAGGTTGAAGAGGTTCTTGATTGTGGCTGGTACGGATGTCAGCTCGAACTGTGAGGTGTTGCTGGGACCGCGCTTGGGTTCCTGGTACACTGCGCCCTTTGCCTCAGCCAGTCAGCATAGCTTCAGTATGTTCGTACCAGGAGACTCTTAAGCGTGAGTTCCAATGGCTTTCGAGATTTCTGTTCAACTCACTTCGGGACCACAACGGGTAGTGCCCTTAGACCGTTTCATCACAAAAGTCACGGTAAGAACGACATGTTTAAGACAGCTCCAGAGTTGCCACCCATGGGGAGATGAGCATAGCGCTGGTTCGGAGGCCAAGGCGTCGGAAATCAAAGTCTGGGCCACAGTCAGGGTGGACGCCTGGAATCACACATGGTGAGCCGTCGGCCGGAACCTTTGCTGAACCGCAGCTTGAATACATAACTGAACGCAGACTGTTCTTGGAACCTTGGTAAACAAAACCTGTTCCATCCGAGAACGTCCCAGGAACTCCTTCGAAGGGCGGCACAATGTGATCATAGTAGCCTGAGGGCAGCGGAGAATCTGAAATAGAAGATCGCACGTTGTCTGAGGCATTGCTGGAAAGACGGAGTGTCGCTGAGTGTATTCATTAATCACACATGGCTGTGAATTGGTCTGCGATTCTGTATTCTATACCACATCAAATCAGATATGAATCACCAGGTAAATCCGGATAGCCCCCTGCATCATCGTAGGCAACAAACAGAAGGGTCCGGTTCCAGCCAGGCCCCGACCGAACAGCCTCATAGACCTCTGGAGGTTTAGGCTGAGGGCTGATGCATGTCAGGGTTTGTGTAGGCAAGTCTAGGGTTTGGAACTGAAAACATGGGTGCCACTATCAAAAGTCTTCTTTGCTTGTGCTTGTTTGCCATGTTGGCTACTTCTCTTGGGCCCATGACGCTATAAGAGCTGCTGTCATCAAGTTGTTCGGTGTGCAACAGCATACAGGCTAATGTATGTGTAACTGGGTCTGACCGGTTGCTGCGCCCTGAACTTCCGAAGCCGAAACACGAAGCCCAAGCCATGCTTTTCAAGGGACATCTTTCAGGAGGCGCTCGCCCTTGGCAATGTCATGGCACGGGTGGTCGCACGCCTGAATCGGGGGCCTAGGTCATTGGCAACTTCAAAACGCACCCCATTGCAATGTCTCGAGAAGGAAAGCACTCAGCGCTGGATAAGTTTATGGACAAGAATGCAAGGAAGAAATTATCACCTTCGTTTCTCCTCTATGTATGGTCGATCACCTCATCCCTGGATGCCCAATCGGTCCCTTGAAGGCATGGCTCGAAATCTAATCAATATGCAACCTTGCAAATGAATCCTCTAGGCCCTAGGCCCTACAAACAAGTCGAACGTTGAACATTCCGATCCAGTGGCAGCACCCAAGACAAAGCAGGCAAAGAGCCATTGGCGGCTTGCTGGTAGAAAATCTCCTGCAGCTCGCCTACACTTTTGTAGGCATATGAGACTTGATAGGCTTCCGTAGGTCTGGGCGTCTCAATCCCTTCTCGGGGATCCTTCCCTGCAACTTCAAGGACGTCTGCAATGCTTTGGTCACCCCGGCGGAGGCGTGTGTTGTGTGCCAAAATCCTCAGGACTTACTTCGTTGCTACTTGTGTCTGGATGCTAAGTTTTAGGGCTCAACTCTCAGCCACTGACCTTGCACCCATGTCAGTACATGATTCACGAACAGTGTCCATGCGTTTTGAACATGCCAGACCTATCACAACCGCAGTAAGGACCTGTGAATGTGGAGGGCACCCAGTCAAACCGGCAAACCCGCAAAAGTCTTTATTGACACTGTCTCCAAAAAAGCACGTTTTGGACCGGTAATCTCCTGGCTCATGAAGCGGTCCTTGTGCCGAGCCACCCCAATCATGGCAACATCCTGGTCTACTGTTCAGCATGAATCCGAGGACATCTCAATCCCAGCCATGGGGACTGTTCTATTAAAGGCGTGTTGACTCTTGATTCCGCAGTTCCAGCAGACTTGTGGGGGCTGTATGGACCCCCTGTGACCTGCATCCTACGGGTGGAACAGATATAGATTTGCCAGTAGCCCAGCATCCGGTGTAGAGATCGCCGAGCCGGCATCAGGATCGTGTGGATCTTCGCCATGGCAGGGCTTGCCGTCCAAACCACATGTGCTGTTCAGGAACAAGCTGAAGCTGACGTTATGCAGACGCAGAGAGTCATAGATAGTCGGTTGTGGGAAGTACGTCCCATTTCCACCACACTGCTTCCAAAGCACATTGGAGGTCATGCCGCAGGATGTCGCGGACTGCGTGAAGAGATGGTTGGGACTGCTTGCAGAAGGAACTGCGGTGAATAATTTATTGAAGACACCGAAATTCTGAGCAATTGCTGCCTTGATTGGCACCTGCTCTGGGGCAAACATTGTCACAGCAGTGCTATTCTCCATTGCGCCCCACAAGGCTGAGTAGTTGTCGCTCTGCGCTGAGTAAGGATACCGGTGCGGGTTGCCATCCTTAGCGAACTTCCCCTCGAAAGTTGCATAACTCGGGCCCTTGGAGCAAACGTACGGCGCAGATCCGCAGGTGATGTTGATGAAGCCCTTGGATGGGTCTGCGGGATCGGCTGGGATGCGATGACCTGTTCCAGGGAGCAGACATTGCCGATCGTCAGCTCCCACAAACTCAGAACCAGTTGATGTGGTCTCGAGTGCTACAACTGCTTACAGAAGTGTGGAATCTGCTTGTGTGTGTGGGGGTGCAACCTTAAGCCTTACACAGGCCTTTAATTCCATCAAATCCAGGCAGATCCATGCAACCGAAGAAGTTGTCGGCAGCATGGTTCTCCATATACAGAACCTGAGATGACTCCTATGACGACATGCACGATGATGGATATCATGAGTACGATCCTTACCATTTTCACGAGCATTGTCATGTTGCTTAATTCCTGTGCATGGAGTCAACGCGTTGCAGTCTCGAAGCAACCACGTGGTCGATCTTGCTCTGCCGTGGAGGTGGGCTTCGAAGTGGCAAGGACTGGGCTCTCCCAGCTGAATCTTCCGGCAAAAACCGCAGCACATCCTCAACACACACTACTCCACGCACTACAGATGCCGTGAGGGACCTATTAAGAAACATCGGCAACAGCCCTCTTCCAGCTTGCATGGCTTTAGCAAGGGTTCGTAATCGCTGCGTGCTCTCAAGACTGGGTAGCTTCCAGGGTAGTACCTGCTCGCTCCCTTCCGCAACGCTCAACCTCCCGTTTCCTTCTTGTCTTTCGCCCTCTCTCTCTCTCTCTGTCTCTTTCACGCTAACCATTCTTTTCTGGTTGGCCTCTCTTCAAATCGGAAACCAAGCCGCCTCCTTCAGCTCCAGCAACGAGGTCTGTGAAAGTGCAGCAGCTGCAACCAGCTGCACGAGGATGCATGCTGCTTTGCTCGCCATGGCGGTCGTGCTAGGCAGGTCAGAGTTTAGCCAATTCGGTCATATGACCGAGCGACAATGCATTTTGTGGATGAACAGTTTCATGCATTAACCATGCCTTGCTGATGTCTCCAAGTTTCAGCCTTGTAGGTGACTGAGGGCCGTGCAAGTGCTTACGTTCAGCGTCAGCATCTCACACGCTGCCCAGATCGCTCACATGAGCAGTTACGACTGTCCAGCCTCTGGTTGGAGAAGCCGCCAAGGTCCGCTCGACCTTGGCTATGTGAGTCTGAAGGTCAAATCCATGCAGGCTTTTAGCTTGCAGAAGTTTGACTGTCTACCGAATCTTGCAAAACATCAAACTTGTCAACGCGTTTGCTCACACATGACACTCGACATGACAAAATCTAATGTCTCGTGCTGTGCTGTTCGCAAACACAGCTTGCTTGGAAGCATCAGCTTGCAGCTGTCAGTGATTGCAATGACATTGCTTGTCAGAAAGCTTGTTGACTGTTGGACAGGCTTGCCCTTTCTGTCACCCACGCAGTTGAAGCTCAAACTGCAAGACCTGAGCCCAATTCTGAAAACCACCAAGCAGCAACCACTAGAAATTCCTAGAGGCCTGAAAGCCTTAATTGCTGCTGAAGGGTTGCATGCCAAGGGGCCCCAATTGCTTGTTCTCAGACTCCGTGCATTGCGGTAGCGAACGGCCTCTGACAGCACCTGCGTTCAGTGGCTGGTAATATGAAATGCAATGATAGAAAGCTACGGATAATAACTCATCAAAGCTACAAGACCAGTTCAGGTACGGCCATGCAGGCAGGGCCATTGAAAAAAAACATCTTGGGCAACTGCCCAGGCGGCTGGCACGAAGTCATCACCTCCAGGAGATCCGTGCTGCAATGGAAAGCGTGGCAAGCAACGTGTACCATGGTACATTCTGGTATATTATAGATAATGGAAAAAAGATAATGGAAACTACTATAGTGTATTGGGGTTATATAGGGATAATTGAAAATAAAATGGAAGCTACTATATTAGATTCGTTTGCATGAACGTTTGCAAGTCAGGCGCCTTGAAAAAGCGCAGCACCTCTCCCCTGCTGGAGCTCCAGGATGTGTTGTAAGGACCTCAAGGAGTAGAACTCAAAAGAGCTACAGTCTAAACTCCTAGTATACCCCTAAAACACCCCTAAAGTACTCCCCTATATAATGCCCTATATAGCCCCCTTTAAGAAGTTTGAACTATAGCTCAAATGATTCTCAGATCGAAGAACCAGCAATTCCCAAACAAAGCAAGTGAGGCCCGCACAGTTTCACCTCGGCCAGTTCTGAAATTTCAACGAACTTGCTAGGGGTTAGCAGGGAATAGGGGCATGGAATCCCTTTACAATCCCTATATCAGAAAAGGGAGTCTAATCCGTATATAAGGTAATCCCTGAATTTCTTCCCTACTAACCCTCAGCAAGTGAATTTGTACACTCCAAGCAGTGACATGCTGTATGTGAGAACAAGAACAAAGGGGAATCCAAATCCAAATGGCTCTGACTGAACTTGCGGCACGTGACTATCTCCAGACATGCATGACAATCTGTTGAGACCCCGTCATCACGAAATGACAGCTCAGGATTGGGCCAGCAATTCGTATGACAACTCCTCTGGCATGGTTGAGGCGCACATGCAGGCCTGGAAGCCACAGGTTAGACATACTGCCAAGAACGACGAGTTGCCAAATGGGGAGCGTACAGTTGGGTACTAGGCGACGCTGTTCTGTTTTGGCCGTATCGACAACAACATGGTGGACTTGTTTAGGGCACAGACTGGTCAGGCATGCCCGGGGTCAATAGACAGTTTGGAAAAGGACAACAACAGGTTGTGAGCTCTAAGGACCTCTGATTGACTGAATGACCTCTGGGCTAACTGCATTGATGAAGAGCTCGGCCGAATGTGCTGCCTTGCCTGTAGAGCTCAGGCACTGCATGTCCGGATTGGAATTCATTGTTTAGGCGCTAACTAAAATGCTGGAAGCCTCGGCGAAACAACAGCACGACAGCGCGCTCTAGATTCCAAATGAAATGGGGAATTCTGTGTACATTATCCACAAGTCAGTTGGACTTTTCATGTAGTCGATTACGGCGCTGCATCCCAATCAGTCAATCTCAGAAAGGGTTGAAGCAGTGGACAGCGACGTTGGCAATCGTCCACGAGCAGGACATTGTTGGCGTTATTGATGCATGAGATGTTGAAGTATAGAAGCAGCTAGGCCAGAGTTTTGAAGGACTATCTTCGTTGTCACAGCATCACCGCCACAAGTGCACATGTCTGCATGTGTACTTGCAGTTATGATGCTCTTATCAAGGAGGTAGCATTGCGCACTAAAGCTCTTTTCTCAACCTGCGGAAAGCTGCTCAAATCGTCTTCCGCATGCCCCGCCTACTTTTGGGTGCTGCGGAAGCTGAAGGTCCTCAGCGCAAGATGCGAATCCACCAGGAACGCCATCAATTGTGCTGTCTCCAGCAGTTCCAAGAGTTACAAGAACTACACACGCGTGTCAAGGGATGGAACATTCATGCATGCTGCTTTGTGCTGCTACCACCCTGATCACCCTTTGCACGAGCCGCCAACGATTGCCGTCAGCACTGAAGCACCATGGCCTCAGAGCAGTGTAAGCCTCATCAAAATCTTGAAATCCTACCTCAAGAAAAACTTTTTTTCTCGTCGCTCAAGTTGCCCCGTGTCTCTGGTAGTCTTTCAAGGGTCCACATTTACCTGCACGGCCTTGTGCTCAATGTGAGCAAGTGCTTGTGTAGCTTTCGAATGAGCAGGTTCATACGAACTATAGTCTAAACTCCTAGTATCCGCCTTAATAGCTCCTATAATACTCCACTATTTATAGCCCCCTATACAACCAACCCCCTTTAAGGAGTTTGGACTACAGCTCATATCATTGACAGTGTATCCCCTTCACGAACTGTGGTGGTGAACACATGGATCACTCATGCGCTGGGGCTGTCGCGCACGACCATCACTTCAAAGGTCTCCCGAAGGAAGTGGCAGCCTGTGGTGGGCGGTACGCAGAAGCTGTCCAAACAGATAGATGGCCAGCAAACGGTAAATGGCTACTTTGCAAAATCTTTCCAATCAGAGAAGTTGAAAACACAATTGCATACATGCTTGGCAAGGTGACACTTCTATTTCGCTCAAACATGCAGCATTCGTAGCTAAAGCCGCCAGTGGATACTCAGAAGCAATCGCATGCTGTGTAGCGGCTGCCTGCACCAACTCCTGGCTTTGCCTCTTCCTCAGTTCGAGGAAAAAGTCAATTGTTGGCATACTGGTGTTAGCCTTTCAACTCTCCTTGCCTGAGGGAAACCTTGGCACAGAGAGCGTCCCTGTCTTTGATCGAACCTTTCGGAGAGACGAAATTTTCCAATGTAGCCTGAGGGCCGTACTGGAGGTGGCAATCTCGCTGCGCAGAAGAAGAAGAAGTACCTAGGAGTTCTTCTGTATTGCGCACGGACCCCTTTCTTGGGATGTCAGAATCTATGGGCACCATTCCTTTAGCTCAGACACACGTTCTCTGTCTGACCTCTTTAGATCACATGATCTCCATCGCAAATCCCAATTTCCGGATGCTAGGAACCGCGCAGTGCCCGTGCCGCCAGGTTGGCGTTGCACATCTGGCAATCAAAGGTGGAGGGTAATCTTTCAGGCTGGCTGCGTTGAGGCCCCCATGACATGCGCAGTGTAGAGCTCAAGGAAGGTGGCTCACTCTTGCGCATGGCAATCACAGTGGCTACCAGCATAGCCAAAGTTGGTGCCCTTCGTGCATGGCTACTCATCAGAAGAAACTGCGTCGAAATGAGTCATCAAGTATGGCTTTCAATTCTTCACACTGGGCAGGGTTGTGGCTTCAGGACATGTGCACCCTTTGAGGCAGGTTCCATCCAGTGTTAAACTTGTTGTGCCCGCATGTGCACTACCACCCCGAGCAAGATGGGTCCTGCACGGAATCCCCAAATCTCAAATGCAAGTTGAAGGAACTGCCTGGGATTCAGCATTATGATAACTCAGGCATACTTGTCCTCCTTACCTGTAGAATTATCATCTGGCCATCTTCATTCTGCTCAAGGAGTCTCATTCTTTGCTTCCTGATATCTATGCTAAAGGTACCCTCGGCTTCACTCCCAGCTCGGCCTGCACACACAAAGGCCAGGCCTTAGCATTGCAAGCTTCTTCCATGAGTGTCTGACAGCGTCATCTTGAGAGACTTCATAACCCTAATATATACCTGATTATACTACAGTAGTCTCCATTTCTCTTCCATTATCCCTACATTATACCCCTACATAACCCCAATATAGTTCGTTATACATCTCATTAGGCCGGCTACAGTTTACGGGTCAACTTTGCGAAAGGTTCCCCTACTCTTCCTGACAGGCATCCTCCCAGGCGCCTTCAGAAGAGAAAGGCATACCGCTAGAATGCTAGAAGAGGAAAGCAATAGTTGAAATCACCAGGCAACAAGAGCAGTAGTGACTTATCCAACTCTTGGCCGACAATTGTCTCTAACGACCGCTTGGCATATGCAATCCGCTTTCGCTTGACTTGTGTGGCTAGTTCCCAGAAGACTTGAAGTTAGGGTCACCCTTGCAGCCTCTTTCAGCTTGTAGTTTCCTTTCATCTGCTTCGGCTGTGCTTGCGAATGCTCTTTCCACTAAACACAGCTCTCCAATAAGAACATGCCTCCCCCGCAGCAAATGAGCCCCTTGTAATACAATGGAGGTTGATGGGCACTTGGGGCATTGTCGGAAAGGTCTTCATGCCAGGGGGAATGGCGTACCAAGCTGTGATGCAGAAGTCATCTTTTTGCAGAGCGTCCTTCGATTCCAAGTAGAATCTATCCTGCACTCTCTGGTATTGCACCAAGTGCTGGAGTCTGAATACCTCACAGGATCTGCTAGGTCCTCAAGTTGTCGCTCAACAGGAGTTTGCCGTGTTTTCTTGGTCCAAGTTTGGTGC